TATGAATTGATGGGATGAATTTGGCTAATGGTTACAGTTATACAAAATGGGCTTTTCCTTATTATTTACATACTTTAGAAACTGGTGTTCCCAATGTATCTGTCCCCAGTTCCTTGCCACTAATGTACTTTTGGTCAAACAAGCTTTCAAGGAAAAATATCCCTGCAAGTTCAGCTTTGTTCAGAATGCTTCAGTCTTAAAGACTTCCTTTTAAATTCATCTTTAAGCACTGCATTCTAACCAGAAAAACTACATTTTTAGCTACTATTTAAATATGATGTGTGCCATATCTCAAATATTTTAACAAAATATGGTCAAATATGTGGGCCCACTGTTTCCACTGTCTGTTCAAAGTAAAATGCACTCTACACATCATCAGACAGCCTTTATACCAGTCAGATCAAATTGTAAATAGTTTTGAGTGATGTAAGAAAAATAGTGACTGACTAGTTACAGGTCATCTAAACACTTTTGGTGAAACGCTATCGCTCTTTACGAAAGAAAATGAGTCGCACGTACTCTTCAGCGCATCCTGGTCTTATGCAAGGTAACATGCTTCCTTATCGTCCTCACCCTTTGCTTGTTGGCCTCTGTGTGTGGCTATCAAGAATCCGGGTCAAAGACATCAGGGGCTTAGCAGGGCCCTTGAATTTCAGCTCTGGAACAAACTCACCTATGGGAGATATTCTGATACAGATTTAAAAGTAGTCCCTCTCTCTTGACTTCTAGGTCAATCCAAGTGTTTTTATTTTATGAAGTCTACTCTAAGTGATCAAATCTCATCCTACTAGGGTAGTGACCACTCTATTTTGAAATTATCTTTGTTTTGCTAATCAATACTAATTGTAAATCAGCAATAGAAGTAATAAAATTGGAGACTCCACTCCCTGTGGGCAAGTTGGGAAATTTGAAGAGAGTACAAAAGTACATTATTCACTTGAAGTCACTGGGGACCTTTTAATGAGACATAGCTTTGTGGATGAACAAGGGGGAAGAGACCTGGAAAATAACTGCCCTGTTCTAGTCCCATATCCACAAAGGAGCCAGAGAGTCTCAGTTAAGTTCTTTCTCTCCTCTTTGCGGTTGGGTTGTCTGTGGCCACTTGAGTTTAAATGAATCATGAAGGCTGGGCAGGCTGACTCACGCCTGTACTCCCAACAATTTGGGAGGCCATGGCGGGTGGATCACTTGAGCTCAGGAGTTTGAGACCAGCCTGGGCAACATGGTGAAACCTCATCTCTAAAAAAAATACAAAAATCAGCCGGGCATGGTGGTGTGTAACTGTGGTCCCAGATACTTGGGAGGTTGAGGTGGGAGGATCGCTTGAGTCAGTGAGGTCAAGGCTGCAGTGAGCCAACATCATGTTACTGCACTCCAGCCTGGGCAACAGAGTAAGACCCTGATTTAAAATAAATAAATAAATAAATAAAATCATAATTAATGTAAAAGTACTCCAGAAATCACACATGTCCTCGAATGATGTTTTAAATAACATAAATGAACAATCAACATTAAAAATATTATACAGGAAAACATCAAGATTAAATTGGTTAATCAGTGAAAATGGCCAAAAACTTAAAAACATCAAACCCTTGTAGTCACACGGCAAAGGTGTGTAGAAACAGTCATTCTCATGCAAATAAGTGTCTAAACCAGTACAAGTTTTCCTGTGGGTAATTTGGTATATGCCCCAAATCACATTATGACGCAGCGACTTCAATTCTAGGTATTTATTGTAAGGAAGTAATAAAAAATATTCACAATAATATTGAGTGGAATTTCTTGTACTCATATTTCTAATTGAGAAAACTTGAAAAATCTAAATGTTGCTTTTAAAACTGTAATAGGGAATTGATTAAATAAATTATAGTACAGCTCAAAAAGATTTAAAAATCCTCCATATGTAACAAAATGAGAAAATAGACATTATCTACTGTCAGGTAAAGAAGCAGCAAGGTACAAAAAGTATGTTGAACATGATCTCTAGTTTGTAGAAACATGGAAAAAAGATGTTAGCACCAAAATATTAGCAGTGATTTTCCTGTAGATGAAAACAATAGTTTTTATTAACTTCATGTTTATTTTCCAACTTTTCTACAATGACTGTATCACTTTTGTCATAAGAATAAAAGTTATATAAAAAGCACAAATTGTCTCCAAAAGAGATTTTACTTTTTGGTATCTTGTAAGCTAACAATTCAATAATTAACTTTCAATGGTATCCACTATCTTCAGATAAATTATAATAAAATAAATAAGAAATTTTCCCTTGGAAAAAAGCAGAAACCTTTATTTGCACGTACAGGTTTCTGAACATTTGGAAGTAGGTTAGACATGCTTTAGACTAAAGTTAACAGTTTTTCAAAGGTTGTCAACTATAGAAATGTCGGATCAGAAACGTTAGAATTTTTAATCACCTTTTTGCGTACACTACCTAAAAAAGTTTGTTTCGCTTACATAAACCATTGTGTGTCATTATTTCACAGGTTTTATCTCTCTTTAAAAACTGACTACCTATCAAGCAACATCCTCACCCATTTTGGGGACTACCACAAACTTTAAAAAATTCTACATCTGAAGGAAAAAATACATGATTAGTTATTGACTCCAAGTCTCAAACGGCAAATATGAGCGCAAATCAGGGTGACACCTGCATGCGCACGACGGCCACCAGGCCAAACGAGACAGCGGCACCCTCCCTGGCCTCCTTGCCAGCGTCCCACAGGCTGACTCTCTCCAGGTGGCCAGGGCCATTTTGTCCCCACACCACAGAAGAGGAAGATCTGTTCCCTGGGACCGCGGGAGGACTTAGGAGGCCGAGAGGACCCAGTGCCATGCGTGGAGTTCATTTGCTGGGACACACAAAACTACATGAAGGGAAGGGTGGACACGTTTCCTCGGACATCAGTGAAGGAAGGGGAAACGTGTCAAGTAAATCTTCAGATTGTAGGTATCCCAATCCTTCCCTGGATTATTCAATCCATTCGTATCCTTACAAATTGAGTTTCTGTGTTACTAAGTATACCTGTATTCAATTTAAGTTGCTACAGAACCATAAAAACATCTTTCAACTTATTTTCTCAAATCCAGCAGACCATGGGGCGGCTACATTTTGCCATCCACAAGGGCTGCAGTGGGAGGTGAAGAGCAGCTCTGGCTGCTCAGCTGCATCCCATGCCCCCCGGCACCATTGTGAAGCCTTGCCTCTAGCTCCCCACCCCGTAGGAGATGCCCTGCCTCTGGGTGACAGCAGAGATCCCCACCTGGGGCAGATCCCAAGGCCTGTAAGCAGGCATTCAGAGTGTGGTTCTGCAGCAAAAGCTTTTTGGACTCAAAGCCCAAGTTTAGTCATTTAGTCGTTCGTAAGCCATGTGGCCTTGGGTCCGTTCCTCAACCCTGCTGTGCCTGGCTCCTCACCTGTAAACTGAGCGTGAAAGTAACAGAACCCACCGCATACAGTTGTGAGGAAGGAATGAGTTCATAGGTGTGAAGCACTTAGAATTAGTCCCGGGCACAGAGGAAGCACTCGACGAGTACTAGTGGGAGTCGCCACGTTCATTATCACTTGTATGATTAAGATAACCTAGTCTCCTATGCATTGACTGGGAAATTACGGTCAAGACAACGTAGCAATACAGTTGGTGAGTTAGGAAGAAAAAAATTTAAAGGAAAACCCCAATTCTATGTCCATCCCCCAATGATCGGAACTCAAGTTGCCAGCCGCTTTAAAACGACTCAGTGCTTAGCTGCACCCTGGGCCAGCGACCCCCTTCTGGGGAGCACTCACCTCCCTTTGGACCACTTCACCTGCTGCTGCTAACACTTTTGCTATGAGGGTGAAATCACATAATCACATGTTTGTGGGTTTGTGGTAAAATAAACATAACTTCAAAGGATTATTATGCAAAGCCCCCACACCACTGCCATAAGCCTCATTGTTATTCTTCTCTGTCACCCCTTGAGCCCAAAGTACATAATCACCCAGTAATTGAACTGAAATGTCTAAATGGCTGAGGCTCCTAAAGGACATAGCTATTTACCAATGAAAAAAGTCAGAAAAATTTAGCAAACCTCCCTGGCGCTCTGCTGCGTTAGTACAAAAGCCTGTGTAAGTATGACCCACCTGGACCTGCTCCTCCTCCTCAAATCATTAATGGAAACAGAACAATCCTTGCTGTCATGGGGCAATGTGAGAGAAATAATTAAAATATCACAATTGCTTAGCTGCTTCTGAACAGAGAGGTATAAGCTCTAACCTTTCTCAGGATATAATTTTATGAAAATGTAAGCAAAAGGCAGAAAAGTAAATTTTTCTGGTCGTGTCATTTAGTGCTCCTGGGGCTGGGGGGAGAGGCCAGGGGGCCTCAATGTCAATGCTTCCCTTGATACAGACTAGGCAGTGAGTTTGGGCTTTCGGGGATGGGGGTCACCCTGGAGGATGGGCGTTTTCATGGCAAGCGTCCTGGCACGCTCAGTAGAGCCCGCCGTGCTCTAATCTGCAGAAGGAAGCCTCATTTCAAACACTGAATACAACAGCAGCCAGTTTTCTTTTTAAAATTGTAGGTTTTTAAAAGCTCAGAAATCAGGTTTTCCTCTTCGGAGCAACACAAAACTAATTCCTGGGTCCTCGGGGTCTTTGCTGGTGGAGTAAGCCCTACCCCTCTACTCCCACCATTAAATCTCTGGATAGACACACAGGTTAATTACACATATTTTTAAATTCTGCAAAGGATTCTCTGAAGGACGCATCTCAGCCCACCTAAGTACAAAACAGCCATCACTCAATGGCTAAACTCGGCAATCCTTAGCACCCAGTGGAGTTAAAAATTTTAATTACCATTTTTTAAAGCACAATACTTATCATTTGAATGAAACATGTCAGCACACAAATCATGAAATGATGATTCTGAATAGAATTTTTGTTGGTTGATTGCATAAGCAATACCTCTTGTTGCTGAAATAACATCTCAAAGGCAAAATAATGACGACATGACAATCCGTGTAAATCAAGAACTGCATGTGGGTTTATTTTACATCTGAGAAAACAGTGGATTTAATTGTGTGAACCAAAATGTACTGTACAATATTAATGATAGAACATCAAAATGTATAATTAATAGTGCATTGCTTGCTTTGTTTTTATGTATTTATTTTTGTCTGACAGTCCCTCTGAGTACATGCATCTGGAGAGATGCAGGTGCCAGTAAAAGTCCTCTATTTAAATCAAGCTGCAGGAACTAAATTTTATTCAAAAATTGTGGTTTTACATTATATACACAGAAATTTAATATAAAATGACAATATAAAAAGTTAAAAGGGAAAGCATACAGCCAGAAGGTACAAAGAAAGTTGAAGAGATTAAAATGGTACGATATGTAACATACAGGAGTTTTTAAGCTGATGCTGGCAATTTACAAGGAAAGGACTCCAACGTTTGCCCCATTTTTTTTTCATTTACCAATGCAGCACGCTATAGAAAGGTCAGCTTGTACCAAAGCTTACATTTGTAAATAACTATAAACCGCAATATTTTACAGGAAAAAAGAAATAGCATTTTTATACATTTTTAAATAATAGCTTGCATACTTTTTTTTTTTTTTTTTTTTTGCCGAAAGTGGCATTTTTCCGCATCCAGAGGGTTTGGGCATAGTGGCGAGTGGGTATCTGTTGTTGTTTTTTGTTTTAGACATGTAGAGGTGTGGCTTCCAAACCCCATGAGTCCTACACAGCTTTCTATCTTCCCACAGCTGCATGCATGTTTCCTCACAAACCAGTTCTGCATATAAAAGCTCATTTTTTAATTATTAAATAAGTTTTGTGTCTGACACAGCTTTTGATCTGAATGAAATGCCTTTAAGCCTTTTTTTCTTTTTTTTCAAGTGAAAGGCACAGAAATGCAATTACAGTCCTCAAAGGGTTAAATTTGACACTACCAGGTTCTATGACCTTTATTGTCATGGCAACTTCGTCATTTTAGGATGTCTTTTTATCATTGTTATTTGTGTCTTTCTTTACTGCTAAATAATGTCTCTGAGTAGTGTGCCCCACTATTTCCTACAAAAGATAGCTTAACATCAAGAACAGATGTTGAAAATAAAGGTCAGACTTTGACTCACGGAAAAAGAAAAATAACATGCACAGATCGGACAGAGAGCATATAAATATACAAAATATGTGTAAGAAAACCAAGGTCCAGAGAGGCGGGCCAGCAACAAAGGAAAGACTGATTTTAGAGGCTCAGGCCAGGCCTAGTGCAGCTCGACGACGTTTAGTGCAATGTTCCGTGGTCTCTTGCATACCTGGACGCTACTGTTTCTCCAACTCAGTCACATAGATCAGGTGGTCCTCGGGGGACTTGCCATGAGTCTTGCTAAGGTGCAGTTTGACTGCGTGCTTGCTCGCAAAAGTCCGGTTGCAGAGCTTACATTGGAATGTGGAGCCCAAGTCTTCCTCGGTGGCCCCCAGCGGGCCCAGAGTTTTGTTGGCGAGGACTTTCGAAACATTCTGCTGTTCTTGAATCTGATTGAGTGGCAGCTTGGATAGATCCTTCAGGCTGAAGCCCAAGTGCGTCTCCAAATGACTTATGTATGTAGATGCAGTTCTGAACTGAGAGGCACAATCGTTGCAAAAGAAAACAGGATGCCCTGTGTCCAGGTTCTTTAGGAATTTCGTTCCCCCTGTCCTCCTCAACTGGTACTTCACATTGGCCAGCCAGTGGCTGATGGTGGTCATGGAGAGGCCGGTAAACTTCGAGATGTGCACCCTCTCCTGTGGGCCCAGGTCCGACATGATGTACTTGCCCTCTGTGGTCTCCCGCAAGCTCGAGGCGAACTGGGCCTGCAGGATGAGCAGGTGCTGCGGGTTCCAGTTGGACTGCCGGCCCTTCCTCTTGTGGACCGGTGACAGCTCATCCAGTGCCTCCTCAAAGCTGCTGCCATCAGCATCAGACTTCTCCGACACTGTAGAGGGCGTGGAGGACTTGGGCGTCAGGCGGCCTGTGAGATTTTTTACCATGTCAGAGATGTCCATGAGCGCGCTCTCCCGCAGAGGTGACGCCACCGGATCGGCCATGCCGGACCCCAGCGGCTTGTTCTTGGACTTGGTTAAGTCAATGGGCTGGTCGCTGTTTTCGTAGTAGTAGCGGTCGATGGCGTCGGCCTGCTTCACCGAGGCGGCGGGGCGCGCCGGCCTGTCCAGCATGCTGTTGCTGATCTTGTAGAGCATGGCCAGCGGGTCCAGCGAGGCGCCCACGGGCTTGGACACCTTGCCCAGGTGGGTGTTCATGATGGACTGCAAAGCGCTCAGAGGGTTGATGAAGGAAGGCTCTGGCGAGTGGTCGGTGATGATCCCCAGGTTGTTACAGCCGTTGGTGACCTTTGCTTTGAGAGGCTCTGTGCCGTTTGGGGTGTGAACGTCCAGCGGTCCCTCCTTTTTGGCCTTCCCGGTCTCGGCCTCAGGGCCCTTCTTCTGCTGTTTGCCGCTGACTTCCTCCGTTTTAGGGAAATCTTTATTCTCTTTTGCTACGGGGGACGCAGCTTTGGCCGGGGAGCTCTTCTCCTTCTCAGGGGGCCTCTCCTCCTTCTTGATGCTGACCTTGCCCGTGACCTTCTCCACCAGCTCCTCCATGGCAGACACATTGCTCTTGTGCGGTGGGGGCGTGAGGCTCCCCGGCGAGTGCAGGAGGGCGTTGTGCTCGGTGGAAGACAGCGACTTCACGCCGCCAGCATAGGACGGCTGCACCTGCACACTCTGCACGGCCGCCGGGAGTGGCTTCACGGTGCCCGGCAGCTGGTAGGCCGCGTGGATGCTGGGGTAACCACCCCACGAGGGTGCGCCATTCTGGGCTTTGCTAATGGCCGTGGAGACGGTATTCTCCAGGGACTTGAGAATGTCCAGCCCTCCCTTGGGGCTGTCGTCCAGGTCCTCCTCGCGCAGGTAGGGGTACAGGGTGCTGGGCTCAAATTTCTCCGAGCTGTCCTCACTCTCCTCCTTGATCTTCTCCGCATCACCAGCCACGGGCGGCTTCTCCTTCTCCGGCTCTTTCTTGTCTTCCGAAGCTGTGGACCCTGCGGGAGACTCGGGCTGCTTTTTGATGCTGGAGGCCGGCAGCCGCGTGTGGGTGGTGGGCGGCAGGGGGATGGACTGGATCTTCTCTTCCACCACGGGGTCCAGCACCAGCTGCTTGCCCTTCTTTGAGGCTGAGGTGGTCACTTTCAGGAAGTGCCCGGTGACCATCATGTGGGCGGTGAGCTGCTGCAGGGTGTCGTGGGAGCTGCCACACTCCATGCACTTGAGGATCTGTGCCTTGCGGGCCTCGAACTGCCAGGTGTAGCTGGCACCGTTCTGGTAGCCGTAGCGGTTATTGGGCGTGACGTATGGGTTCGCCGCTTTCTGATCCTTGGCTGATTCACTCAGGGCCACCTCTGCGGCCATTCCTGCTGGCTCAGGGGAGCAGGGGGGCGCCAGGTCCTGAAGCGCCCGCTTTTTGGTGGAGGGGACCAGTTTGGTGATGGCTGGCACTGGCTCCTTCAGAGGCACTTTCTGGTAATGCTTGGTTTTGATCATGTGGACGCTGAGGTCCTGCAAGGACTCAAAGGAGTGTCCACAGTACATGCACTTCAGCACCTTCTGGGCGTCCTCCTTCCCCTCCATCTCCATCAGGGAGCGCTTCCTGGGCTTGGACCACCGCTTGGTCTTCTCGGAGTCCTTGTCCCTGTTGTCATCACGGTAGTGGCCTGTCTCGTTCATGTGCACCGTCAGTTCCACCAGCGTGTCGTACGCGGCGCTGCAGTCTTTGCACCGGAACTTGCTGGCGCCAGTGAAGACGGAGCCGTAGAGCTTGTTGTTCTGGCGGTAGAGCTGCACGGTGCTGAACAGGCTGGGCTCGGGGAGCAGCCCGTACGAGGACGTCTGCTGCAGCGTCTTGGCCAGTGCGGCCTGGTGCCAGTCGTACCCGGAGCTGCTGCTGGTACTGGTGGTACTGCTGTGGCTGGTGCTGGAGCTGCAGCTGGTGCTGGGCGTGCTCGCCGTGGGGCCGGCGGTGCTGGCTGGGCAGACGGGGGGCGTGGGGGTGGGGGCGGAGCTCTCCTTCTGGCTGGCATCATTGGTGCTGGTGGTGGAACCCGACTTCTTTAAATCCAGAGCTAAGCTGGACCAGCAGGACTCAGAGAACAAGTTTGCATACACAGCTTTGATCTGTGCCAGGCTGTCCTGGGGGTAGGAGACGCTGTCGGGACACTGCGGATCCTCCTTCTCTTCTCGAGAGGAAGAGCCTTTGAAATGGGCCAGCTGGTCGCTGCTCTCACTGAAGGGCGACCCGTAGCCGGCGTCCTGGTTAGTCGCAGAGCTGACTGGGGAGTTCTGGTAGCTCTGCGCCTCTTTGATCTCCGTCTCTTCATTGCACATGTACTCACTTTCCTGAATGTCCAAAGACAGCCCGTCATCCTCCACGTGCTCTTCATCTATTTCTGCTGCCTTCAATTCTTCCTCAGGAACATAAGCTAGGAGAGAAAAGTAAAACCCAGTTAGAAGAAGTAAATCATCTTCAAGGACGCAGCCTCCCCAGCAGTTAGATGATCTTTAAAAAGATATTTGTCAGCCTAGCTCCCAGGACACAAGGCTACCCCAAGTTTACGTATCTACCCCTTTGTAGGAGTTAGGTTCCAAAAGGTGCTGTCCCCTCCTGAGTGTGTCTTTAGCAAAGGGGACTGAACTGGAGGATGGTATCCTGTGCTCGTCCCAAAGATGTCAGTCTGACCCTTGCAGCCTGGTGGGAAGGGCAGGAACTTGGGACTCCAGCTACCACCCGCCAAGTACCCCTCCTATCAGCTGTTCCCTCCTAAGTGACCCAGGAGTCCCCTCACGACTTCCACATGGCAAATACTTGTAAACACCCATCGGGCACGACCTGGTTATCAATTTTCAGAGCAGGATATTCACAGACAGTATTATATCGTTCCCATAAATAAAAACACTCCTCAACGGCAAGCAATGAAAACACTCTGGTCTTCAGCAAAAGCAAGAACCCAACACAGCACCGCCCATCCCCTGCCTGGGCGGAGTAAAGCGCCACCCTCATGGGGCTGCCAGATGGCAAAAGCCATGGTTGTTCACCAAGGCCCAGAGCAGCCCCATTGACTGCAGTCAAAAGCTGGAAGGCACCAAAATGTCCACTGATGGTTGGAGGGATGAACGCGGTGTAATGTTTGGTCTGTGCAGCAGCCTCCAGGCACCTGTGGCCAGGGGCAGAGGCACACACAGCAGTGGGCCAGCAGTGACGGGCTCCCCAAACTGAGCAGATCCAAGTCAAGCGAAACGTTTCCTTTGCATTAGTGGCCATGAAACTCCCTTTCACAAAGATGGGTTGATGAAAGCCGTGAGGCACTTTCCTGTAGTGGATCCTGATAGAAGGGCCTCCCGCACACAGTGGGAGGGGCCTGGGGCCAAGGCCAGCGCATGCTCAGGCCTGCCAACATCATAAACCTGGGCCTTCTGCTTCCTTCAGAAGGCAGAACATCACTCAGGCTTGGAAAGGGAGTTCTGACACGCACCGCAGCATGGATGCACCTCGAGGGCACGGTGCTCAGTGAAGGGAGCCGGTCACGAGAGGACACGTACGGCACGGCTCGCCTCACGTGAGGGCCCTAGAACCGTCACATTCATAGAAAAAGAAAGCAGAATGGTGGTGGGTGCCAGGAGAAGGAGGGGATGGGGACAGAGTTTCCGTCTGGGAAGATGAGAAAGTTCCGGAGATGGAGGGTGGTGATGGCTGCACAACAATATGAACATTCTTAACGCCATGAAACTGTGCACTTAAAATGGTTAAAATGGTCACTTATATGTTATAAATATTTTATCACAATAAAAGCTGTTTAATTACAAAAGCCCAACGGTCCACGCTCCATCCGCCGACTACAGGTCCACGACCGCACAGCAGAGCGACCTCATGGGCTGAAGGCAGCGTTTCCCAGAGGGGCCTCCGGGATACGGCAGTTCTCCCATGGATGAGGCTGGAGGGCACAGAAACCGAGACGCAACCTGGACTTGTGACTGCAGGACATGTCAGATCCTTTACTGCACAACCCACCTTCCCAACTCCCAAGGGAGACTACTGCAAGGAACACCGCCTCCGCTTCTATGACCAAGGCACTTTTACTTACTTTTCCCGTCTGAGGGAACAACTAGCTGGACTAGAGTTCCATCAACAACTTGGGATATTCGGGGTTCAGATACTTTGCAGAAAGTCCCTAGTAAAATGCATTGATCTGACCTAAAAGGGGTGTCTCATTAAACATCATCATTCATGATCACATCATCAGAGCCAGGGCCCAAGGGAACACGACAACGAGGACACACATTTCCAGGGAGGACTGCTGGGAGGGACAGAAAACATCTTGGCTGCCCAAAGGGAGGATGCCAGGGGCAGCGGGGAGCAGTGTGAGAGCCTCAACACCTGCAAATGCAGGGCTTCAGATTCCAGCAGCAGCCACCACTCACAGGCACACGCACAATCGCACGCGTACACACAAGCACACGCACACACACGCACAATGAGAGACGACTGAATCGGTCATGTGGAGAGTCTCTTCTAGCTCAGGCCGTCCCGAGTGCTTGCACGCACTGCCCTTTCTGCACACAGCCTCAACTCCACCTCTAGTGAGAGCATAAGACAATCTGCGCACCTGTGTTCACGCGTTTCACGGCAGTATGCGGAACAGCAGCAAATCCAGGAATCACGATTCTGTTCACACTGTGCTGTGATTGTGGAAAATAACCAATCATGTAAGACCTCAGGCCTCAACTATAGGCATCAACATCTGGGGAATGTTCTAGATGATTCTATGACTCCCCTGTAAAATATAACACTCAAAATTAAAAGATAATTGCTAAGTTCAGGCACAATGTCATTCGCCCCTAATTATTAAAGGTTTAGGATGGCCCAGTTCTGAGGGTTCACTGCTGGGACCTGGGAACCCCACTTTAAGAACCAATGGTCAGACTCGTCACCTTTGAACCAGCCTGGCCTGGGTCATGTTGGCTTGGGCCACAAGGTGCAGCTCCTCTGCGTACTCGGAGGGTGACTCTGAAGGCTGCAGGGTGTGCTGGGCAGGGCAACGCCCGGGAGAGGCAGAAGGCCCAGGTTTATGATGTTGGCACGCCTGAGCATGCGCTGGCCTTGGCCCCAGGCCCCTCTCACTGTGTGCGGGAAGCTCTTCTATCAGGATCCACTACAGGAAAGTGCCTCACGGCTTTCATCAACCCATCTTTGTGAAAGGGAGTTTCATGGCCACTAATGCAAAGGAAACGTTTTGCTTGACTTGGATCTGCTCAGTTTGGGGAGCCCGTCACTGCTGGCCCACTGCTGTGTGTGCCTCTGCCCCTGGCCACAGGTGCCTGGAGGCTGCTGCACAGACTAAACGAGCCCTCCCACAGCCCACCCCACAGCAGGCAGCCAACCTGTGTGTGCTAATAAGTGGCTTTGTGTACGTTGGCTTGGGTTACCATATCCACATATGGTAGACTGGCTGGCTTGACCAACAGAACTTCCTTTCTCCCAGTCCTGGAGGCTGGAAGTCCCAGGCTAAGGTCTGGCAGGGTTTGCTTTCTGGTGAGGCCTCTCCCTGGCTTGAGGATGGCAGCTCTCCCCCTGAATGGCTCTTCCTTCCAGCAGGTGGGAAGAGAGAGCTCTTCCACTTCCTCTAAGCTCACCTCTGTTGGACAAGGGCCCTGTGACCCCATTTAACGTTAATAACTTCCTAAAGGCCCCTTCTCCAAATACAGCCCCAATGGGAGTCAGGGCTTCCACATACGAATGAAGAGGACACAATTCCGTGCACGGCAGGCTTCTGTCTCAACTCTGAAAACACAGAAATGGGAAACCTGCTCTCACACCTCTAGGGTGTGTTCAACACTGACCAATCCTCGTCCTCTTGCTCGGAGTGGGCGCCCACAAAGGATGAGGGTCAGGAGTCACGGCTGCGTCTCAGGACCTGGCCCGGCATCTCAGGACTGCATGGTGATGGCCTCCTCCCGGACCATCCTGCACCCTCACGCTCCCAGCAGGTGCAAGCATCATCCAGACCAGGCTCCACTCGGCCGTCCTCCAAGACAGTCCATTCTGCACCCGGGAAGTTCCCAGGCTGAGCTACAATGTATCTCATTGCCAATCTGTGTCAGAACAGATTGGACCTCACAGATCCACAGAACGAGAAGGCCCTCCTAAGAGGTCATCTTCCCAGCACGCCATTTTCTTGCGCAGATGTCCACGGCCCTGTGTGGGCTCCAGGGGGTGCAGACGTGGAAGGAGGGGGTCCATAAAGTCCCTGCCCTAGGGACAGGGACTCATGTCCCAGGGAAGAAGCAAAGCAGGGTGATCAGGCAGCCTGTGGCCGGGTAGGGGAGGGACACTTTTGGAAGGGAGGGAACTCCAGTGTGGACCAGGGTGAAGGCTGGGCCCCCACAGGTTCAGGCTCTCCCTGCCCGTGCCTAGCATGCCCACCTTCCAGATGCCATCTGGAGGCAGCTTCTCACTCCCCACCCTGTTGCACCTGTGAGCAGCATGTGGCCCTGTCCGTTTCTGGACCCTTGGTGCCCGCTTCCCCCTCCCTGTTCTGAACTGCCGCATCCCCAGGTCGGCCTGCTGCTCTTGCCCATTCTTACCGCAGCCTCTCTCTGGCCAATCTCACCTTCTCCACAACCCCAGTGCCTGTGCCCACCACAGCCATGGGCACCCCTGCACACCTGCCAGACACAGGCCCATCAGGAAGGACGCCTGTCCTGCTGCCCCCGTGGTGCTTTCAGGGCCTGGCCCCACGTCGGGCCCATGGAAGGACCCCACTGTTCTAACACAGATCTAAGGTGACGGGTACTCCACATCATACCTATGTTGTGTGCAAACAATGACACCCCACTGCCTGCTCCAGCACTGTCCTCCTCATAACAACAGCTCACTTTCTCCTCCTTCTGAAACTCCAGATTCAGATGTTACCGAATAACCCTAAATGAGAGTATCTGAGCCAGAAAAGCAGCACGATCCTCAAAGCCTCCTGGTCCTCGGGCCCCGCATCCAAACTGGCCCTGCACTGATGACCAGGCTCTGTGGCCAGAGCCTTCCAATGTCCCCCAACTGACGTCCCTCCACTCCTGGTCTGTGACATTCTCCCTTCCAGCAGATGCTGTGCTCCCAACAACCCTGAGTTCAAGCCTTTGTTGAAGCTGTGTGTCCCAGGCAGGGCATCTGGACCCTCACTGCTGCCCCGCCTGTGCCCAGCCCTCCATGCCCAGCCCGCTCTATCTGGTCCCAGGCACCCCTTCTTCCACAGGGGAGTGCCCAGTCTGGATGCCAGCCCTCCCCCACTCTCTGCCTGGTGTGAGCTACTGGGCCCTCCCTCATCCCTCCAGGGAGACTCGAAGGTCATCTCCTTATGCCACCTTCTCAACTCCCTCACAAAATTCACCACTCCTGGAAGAATCTGGAGCTGTTACCTGTCTGTCCTCTTCA